CTATGATACGATTAATTCTAAAAATTATTTAAAAAATTCAATGCAAAATAGAATAAAAGAATAGGTACTAAATGAAAGAGGAAATTTCTTTGTAAATAAAAAAAATAAAATTCTTTGGATTCACAAGGACGAATAGGTAATTTTTGAAGCGGATAAAGTAATAAGGACGAAATTCGAAACTAATATTGCGAAATTTCAAGATAACATTTTAAAAGAACATCTTCAATATTTACCAGTCCTTATGCACAAAAACATTTAATCAGATTAAATTCTACAGAGTTTCCTCTTAATTTGATACCCATATTTCTTCTCTAAGCACATTTCACTGAAATGTTTAAATCATTTTTGAATTACTGACGTCAAAGTGAAAAACTAAAAACACAATTTTACAATATTTGGCCCATGGTTTCGCGAATATATTGATTTTTGTGTGTAAAATTTTTTGCTATCGTACGGAGTTATATGTATAATGAGCTAGACATTTATAAAAAAATATTAATTATTAAATAAAAAAATAAATATAGCCAATACTGGTCAAGGAAAGTAATTTCTATTATTGCCATTAGTGCAAATTACAAATTCGGGACCTAAAAAACTGGGATCCCGGAATCCCGGGATTAACGTTCCTAGTCGCGACTCCCTCTGGTGGTTGAGCGAGCTTGAAAATATAGTATTTAAACAGTAATGGGGAAAGGACACCACCCGATTTGTCTCTAACCATTACTAACGAGTGTCGACCACTCAGGTAACACTGTGCGACACTAAAAAATACCTGGGAAGTTATGTATATTTTCTGGTAGGTCTTTTCGAGTAAATCAAGAATCGAAATATGAAATTTTCCAAACACCCCCAAAATCTTGATTTACCGTTAAAAAATGGGTTTTCGTACTTTTGGGCACTTATAAGCCTGTAACTTAGTTGATTATGAACCGAGTCTCATTTTATTGCCGGGTTTAAGAAGATACTTGGGCCTTTCGAACAATATATATGTGAATAAAGAAACATTAAGAGATCTGTGTGTATATACTAGGAATGTTAATCCCGGGATCGCGGACTTTTTAAGGTCTCGGAAATCCCGGGATTCTTGGCAAGTAATCCCGGGATTTTCGGGATTTATAATTTGCACTGATGGCAATAATAGAAACTCCTTTTCTTGACGAGTATTGGCTATATTTCTTTTTTTATTTATTAATTAATATATTTTTTATAAATGTCTAGCTCATTATATGTACATATAACACCGGGCGATAGTAAATTTAAAATACAAATATCAATATACTCGCGAAACCATGGGCCAAATATAGTAAAATTGCGTTTTTAGTTTTTCACTCTTGACGTCTGTAATTCAAAAATGATTTAAAAAATTCAGAGAAATGTGCTTAGAGAAGAAGTATGGGTATAAAATTAATGAGGAAACCCTGTAGAATTTAAACATATTCAAGTTTCTAGTGCAGAAGGGCTGGTAAATATTGAAAATGTAATTTTATAATTTTATCCTTGAAATTTCGTAATATTTGTTCGAATTTCGTTCTAAATTTGTCAGCTTAAAAATTACCTATTCGTCCTGGTGAATCCAAAAAATTTTAATTTTTTAAATTCTAAAGAAATTTCCAATTGCATTTGTTACCCATATTTTTATTCTACATCGCATTGAATTTTTTAATAATCTTTGGAATTAATCATATCTTTGAAATTACAAAGTCCTTCAAAATAAATCCTGCGGTCAGAGAGAAAAAATAAAAACGCCACTTTAAATAAAAAAGTAGGTTTCAAACCATGGTACAATTACAGGTATTGTCTTCCTAGACAGTTTTGCTTCACATCGAAATTCCTGCTCCCTTATTTTAATTTTTACGCAGTTCAATATTGATTCTTTTACTTTTATTTGGCTTTGCTTTTTGTTTTCGCTCAATTTAATTTTTAAAATTTTTCAAAACAAAAGAAACAACTTTTGAAATGAAGTGAGCCATACAAATTTTTAATTTATTTACAAGCAAATGTTTTATTTCCGGCTTTAGCAAATTGAATAAGTTCTCTGTAAGATGGTTTATTAAACAAAAAATACGTGAACATATATGGTATATGGGTATGGAAAAAGGGATATTTCCAGCAGTAAACGTTTTAGTGTGGGCAACAATGATATTTTTTAAATAAGGCAGATCGGAATATCCGCTCTCTGGGAAGACAATACCTGTAATTATTGTACCATGGTTTCAAACCCATTTATTTATTATTTATTTCATGGTAGGAGAGCTTCTCAAACAATATAGAAGCAATTTTTTCGATTCAAGTTGTAGAAAAGTTATGAATATCTGAATCCCGGGACTTTGACAACGCCATCCCGAAAATCCCGGAGTCGGAACGAAAAATTAACATCCCTAGTATATACCCAGCAAAATTTTTTTTTTTACTTTTTTCGCCTTTCTTAAATTTTGGTTAGGTTTTTACGCACTATTTTATAAGAAAATCCATTCTAGTCCTAAATTGATTATAAAACTAAATTTAATAGCGAGAAAAACGAGTGTTTATTTTTAAATATCGTACGAAAGTTTACTGAGTTATTAAACATTTTATGAAACCAAATTTTTTTCAAAAATATTATTTTTGGCTATGCAACTCAAAAATTTTTGCTTGACAGTTTTTTATTTTAATTGACGTTTTCTATGATCGCAAAGTATGACCATCCCGTGAGGCATTTAATAGGGCGGAAAACGTTTTAAACGTCCCATTGGTTAAAGCTGAACATGTTGTTTTACATGCATTTAAAGCTAGATATATTACGCTATAGGGGTATTCTCTCAGTCTTGCAAAGCCCTTGCAAGGTGCACGAATTGCACGGTTTGCAAATCTGTCCCATAGCAAGACCGTTTTTTTTCGTGCAATCCATGTACCGTGCAAGGGCTTTGAAAGACTCCGAGAATACCCCTAATTGTAAAACAATTTTATGTAAATAGAACCGCTTTTTGGCATCTTAAAGTGGTGTTCTCAAAATTAAGTGAAGCCAAAATAAAAGGAGGTATTAATTTTTTCTTCTCTCGTCTAGTACTTTTTCATCGGTTTTATCTCTTTTTATGGATTTTATGTATTTTCATAGGACCTCAAATTCATACAATTTTGAGCAAAGTGAGCTTTTTGAACCAGCTAAGCTCTGTAGAAAAACGTGCATGGAAGTGTTTTGTAGCGCTATGCAATAATTTACTTACGGTGGAATGGGTTTTAACATGCCCATAAAAATTCATTTCCTTCATTTGCATTTGGACTTCTTCCCAGATAATTTGGGCCAGTTCAGTGATGAACAAGGCGAACACTTTCACCAAGAAATACCTACGATTTGTACATCCGACACCACCTACCTACCGGCATGTATTTTGACCCGCTGAATCCGAATTTTATGTTAGTTTGGGCCGTACACCCTTCAATATCGAGTAAATTGTAAAAATAGCTAAAATGGGATAAATGGTAATAAAAAAAAATTTATGAAACTAAACCAAGCATAATTCTTATGTATTTTTATCCGCTGAATACAAAACCGAAGTGTGTCTAGACCATAAACCGTTTTAAATCTTAAAAAATTGTAAAAAACCTTGAAATATGTTAAAAATAGCAAAAAATTGCAATTTGTCTAAAAAATTATGTATACACCGAATAAGGGGAAAGATTTTTTACGTGTGATTTTTTAAGGGTGTACGGCTCAAACTGACTTAAAATTCGGATTCAGCGGTCAAAATATATGCCGGTAG